ATACTACCAAATCGCTGGACGTTCTATCCCGTTAAAATATATCAATCAACAAACACACGTCAAGCCAGATTATTACAGTTCACGTCGTCATAGTCTGTTCCTATCCCATCTTCGTCTTTGATCTCATTCCAAGAGGTTCCATACCAAAACTCGGCGACACCCCTTTGCAACAGCAGTATGTGAGAAATTACAACCAAGTCGATTTTAGCGACCTGACAATTTTATTAATTCTGAAAATATCGAAATAATCGCCACCCAAAATACCGTTACCCTCACTGTTGCTCCACATCCGAAGAATTCTGTTATTAGCTTTATAAGATGCTACGTCCATCTGAACCACACAGCCTAAAGGACGTAGCTGCTAATTACGCAAATTTTCCGATTAATATCAGAAAATCCAATAAGTCTTATTATTATTTCAGTGGTCTAGCTCTACATATTAATCAATCTTTCAAGACATTTTAATACTTGGTATAACTGGGTCTGGACTGTTACGATTATATACCTCTGCGTTCATATTATAAAGGTTATTGGTTTTCCGGTTCACCAAAGCGCGGCTATTAACTTAGAAATTACAGTCTCTAACCGGAAGCATTTCAGGAGCGGATGTCTGAGGTACATTCACCTATTTGCTATAGGTCTCTCAATACTTTGAAGTATACCGGGGATTCATGAACAATTGCAATGCAGCTAGTTAATTCAAAAGCTAGATTAAAAAGGTAACGACCTCTTAACTCCGGAGTTTGAACACGTACATTTCAAATGCGTTCTTCGATTTAAAATGCCTCATTTCACAGAAATAAATATTTATTCCTGGTATTTTGTTAAACATAAAATACGCGTATCATATCGGAGAATGTTTTAATTAAAGTTGTATAACGCACTAATATTTAAGTTTAAAGATGTGCATTATTTGCAATGAACACTGACTTGTTAAAAAAATATATATAGAAGTTTGGTTATAATGTTATGTAATTTAAGTGTTACATTGGATCGACAATTATAATTCTGTCTGCTTGATGATACGACACGTCCAATGCCTCAGCTCCGCTACTGACATCTCTAAAATATATTATCCTCCACTTTTTCACGAACTAGCAAGACACACCCTACATTCCCTGGTCTCAGTACAGACCACCAATACAAAATATCATCGAAATCCGATGAGTAATGTCAAAACTTAAATATAGGTAAGGATCTACAGACAGTCAAAATTTAGAAAATTTTACGCAAATAACATGTAACTAGATGATGTCTCTGGCATTAAAGCCATACTCCGCTCTTACTACAAGCAACCTGAAGACCTGATAGTGTGTACAGGCCTCGAGGTAAATCCTAACGTACGAGGTTTATTAACATTGCCTCTTATTATTGTACGCCCCATGTATTTCTCTCGAAAGACTGTGCTTTTATAATGGCAGAATCAATAATGATATTTGTAATTTGGATTAAAGTGGATCGGCCTTATTAACAGATTAACACAAGACAGAGAAGACGCTCTCAAGAAAACAATGACTCAGCCGATAGGGGGGCAGGTCTTTAGCCTAACACAAACACTTTAACTTGGTTCGAACATGGTTACTCGTCGTTAAAAGAAAAATAAAAATATTATAAGATTAAGAGCATATTTGCGAATTTCGTGCTACGATTAAGTCCAGAAGTTTTAATCTTCTCATCTTCTAACAGAAAACCAAATTATACTTTGACCTGCTGTTTAATGTGACTGTGAAACTATGAGTCTCTTTCGTCATATATGAAACACGTATTGAGGGTTTTGCTGAAAAAATTCTGAGCTGGTTTCTTTCCCAGCAAAGCGACTGATAATGCACCATGGAGTCGGGTTTGCACAGTCTTTAATATTGAAGACGTGCCAGCGGGCTACGCTACAGCTGTGAGACATAGCAAGGACGGTCAGGGACAGTCCACTTGTCAGGTGCTTCAGAATACATTCGCCGGAGGCTGTTTTGACTTGGAATTGCTTTGTATTGCCGCCATGTACCCATGCCAGGTCCTTAGCGTCCTATCACAAAGTTACGTGTTTGCGATTCCATGTCATCGGAGGTTAATAAATTATAAGGTGTTCCCTGCACACCAGCAAATGTTCCACAGGAAAAAATACACACCGTTACAGAGTTAAACAGTCAGAGGAGGTGAATAATTTCATGAAGAGGAAGATTATATTCATGTATAAGGTATTTAAAAACGTCATTTTAACAGAAGTTGTGTAAAGTCTAATGATATTTAAAGAGTTGTGAATTTTAATGATTTTATATAATCTTGAGTCATTAAGAATATTGTTTAAATTTTAATGGTAAGACTGCAGAGTCTAGGTACGGATTTCGTTGGTCGTTGCTATTTGAAGATATTTTTACTATCCGAAACAGACAGAGGAAAGCCATGACAAACATTATTAAACATGGACAGTAAGAAGCCTACATTCGAACTGAGTACCTCCAAATAAAAGGCCAGATCGTTACCGCTGGATTAAACTGCGTGATATTAGAAAGAGTTTTGTACTTTTCTTTCTACGAAGGAAAATTCGCAGATACGAAGGCAAGCATTAATGTCAGATATTTATTTTGAGAAAAACAGATTATGAAGATGATAATCTGTTATACTACACGAAGATTGGTCCACTGTTGGGTTTGGCTACCATAAATACAGAGACGTTTTTGATTAGCTAAATCATCTTCTGTTACTGAAAAGGTTTGAAGATTTCTGTGTTCTGGGTGGTTGCGCCGTGTAGTCTGGTAGAAGTTTACCTACGTTTCAGAGGTCATTGCTACCTCCATCATTATGGCCGTGATGACGGAGGCAGTAAGGACCTCTGAAACGTCGGTAAACTTCTACCAGACTACACGGCACAACAACCCAGAACACAACCATCTTCAGACTCACTGACGTGAAAATATCAAATCCTAAAATAAAATGTTATACTTCTACTCTTTCACGGCGACTGAATGCAACGACCCGTGTATGTAAGATATGGAATGAGGTTCTACGCTGACAGAATTGATCACTCGAGAAGATTTCAGTTCAATATCCATCCAGCATGCTCTATCGTGAGATTTTTACGTCCGACTGTCATAATGTAACGAAGAGGCTTGTGATATTTGGAAGGTTGGAAGTTTTTTAAGGTAGCTCAACGCGCGATTAGCCCGAAGATTAGATGAACAAGATTTATTTAAACAAGGAAATAAAGTAATCCTATTAAAATATATTGTATGAGACAAATTAGAGTGCGGTCCATATCGGACAGCAAAGATTTCATTCCAAGGCAGTAAGCATCACTGAAACATCGGTCATTTTCTACGAGACTGAACGGGGCAACATTCCAAAAGACGGTAGCCCTCAGGTCGAAGCCTTTTTAACATTCCACGTTTGCCTTAATTTAGACAGGATCAATTTCATAACAGGATTCATCCTACACAAGAAATACCACAATGGACAGTGGCTTCAGCCTTGTTCTTTCGCATTTATCGAAACATAACCAATTTAGCTTCAGTAACCAATGAGAAATATTTTTCATCGAATGGAAACCAAACCAAAAGGAGTCCGGTGATCATAGAACAGAAGATCTCGCTGAGAACATTGGGACAGTAAAATGGTAGTCTAAACCACCTTAGTTAATATGGTTTATCATACGCTTTTTATACACACAAACATTATGAGCAAATTAATGTCTCTATTTTACGCTTTGCATCCTAGGAGCTGTATAAAGTATCTGTACCGTTACAGAAGAATTTAAGGACCATTTCCATGCTCCGGCAAGTACATAAGAATTTACACTCCACGAAGGTTTAATGTCAGATTCGGTTGCATTTTTTTTTTTACGAACGACAAGCGGTCTTTCCCTGCTGCTTTCATGAATACGAATTTAACTGTGACTACACCACAAATTCCAGAATCATCATCAACGTCATCAAGCCAATTTAAACTCGATTACAGAGTTTCCGTGCTCTGTTTTCATTATAATGCGACAAACTAAATTCATCACACTGAAAAGCATGACAGATCATTTTTATAACGTTATAACAAATGCATCCAGTTTGTTTACGAATCGTTCTTCTTCCCTTGAGATTTGAACTACTAAGTTACATTTAGAACGAAATAAATCCTACGTGTAACACATCGGCGAGGACCAAACTCAATATAAGACATGGGAACTCTCTTTTCACCACCCAGTACAGAGGAGCTGAGAATCAATACAGCCTCCAACAGTACGATATGGCTTTAAACTTTTTAATAATATCATATGGTGGCAAATAATATTGTTAGTGTACCACGTCATGTAGAAATATAGCGTAGATGGAACTAAAGTTCTACGTTTACTACCAAAAACACCAGAGTGAAGTAATCAGCACTCATACTTCGTATTAGAGAGGTCACGGGTTTGAATACCGGCGTCGACGTAAGATCCTAGCTCAGATTTTTCTTGTAGTCAAAGCCGGGGATAATGACTTAAATTAGGTCGGTCAGATTCCTTCTGGAGCATTTTAAATTCTTTTCACTTCAATATAATTAGATGCTATTTAATCTTAGGAACTAAAATCATCTTTAAATCAACCAAGAATAAACACGAAAATTCTGCATGTTCCACACCTGACATCTGGGTAGAAGTAAAGCTCCAGCCTTCTTAACACCAAGGAAGAAACATAGTAACTTACTAGTACAATTAAAACATCCAAGTACAACCTCCAAAATTAAAAGAAGAGACAAAAAACTTAAAATTAAACAAATCAAAATAACCAATATACGCAACGCAAAATGTACAACAATTTTTAAAATATATTAAAATTGATAGACCTGATGATGATGTAATACACATTGAAACATGTCGTCGATACAAAAAATGTAACAAGATGCAGTATCTACTGAGAATGTTATAATTTTAAGTAATTTTAAACAACATTATTTTAAGTTTGTGTATAGACGGAAAATAAAATATTGTATCAATAAAACACAAACATGACGCAATTAAGATATAAATTATAACTCACTAGCATTAGACCGGGCAGATCTCTGACTGCACAGAATGGCGACGAACAGGGGACTCCTAAACCACAGAGACCCTACCGGGAATCAAACCTGTTCCAGCCTGCAGCCAGTCACTGAACTATCTTGGATCATACACCTTTTTATTGTACTCGAACTTGATTTAAAACTATATACAGCTATTATAGAGTTTATTTATGATTCTGTTATTTAAAATTCGAACTGCCCCCGACATTAATTATTTAATGGCATACTTTGTTTATAATTCAATTGCATTGCTTCTAGATTATGAAAATAAATCGGCATTTCCCTGTGGTTAGCTTCATCTTAGTATAACGGACAATGTAATGTGAGCTACGATGCATGACTTCATCGAACCAAGGTATATTTTTAATCAATGCTTTTACGCAAATCTTATAAAACATTTGATCCAACTGAAGTTACTTCTCTGACTTATGAGATATTCTATGTACCAATACCCCACTTACTCAGCACATACAGCTCTGAGGTCGTTCTTTGCCATCCTCTTGTGTTATCGTAAAATTATAATTCCACTACAACGTCACTCATTACTCACCTCTACGAGTGGTTATTGTAGTCTACTACTGAACCACTGAATTATTTACAGTGCATCTCTGCAGTCACTACTTAATAAGTATAAGGAAGTTATCGGAGCCACTACACATTACCTTGCTTATGTTGTCCAGTGCGCGTTCAAGTGTAAATACGTTGTAACATGTTAAATTCAAAATAGATAAAATACAACACAATAAAATAGCGTAAAATATTCAGATATTTCTTATCCATGCTTTGACGTCTTGGCTATCTGGTTATATTGTGTTTATCATCGCTTTGTATTCTTTGTGGTTCCTTGATGGTACGGTGTCATGATCTATTATGTGTCCGGAAGACGCTCATTTGATGACGCCGGAATAAAATATAATACAGTCAACAAACAAGGAGGATTTACAACAAAAACAATGCAAAGATCAACACAAAATAACCTAACCACACGTCTAATACGAAGCCAAATTCATAAATAAAACTTCTGTGATGATTCTACCGTGTCTTTATTTTCGTACATTGTACTATTTTACCTGCTTTCTAAATTTAACATGAAGATGGCTGTCTTCTGGGTTTGTTACGACGTGTAGTCTGGTAGAAGTTTAAGGACGTTTCTGCCTCCATCATCATGGCGATGAATCGGTAACCTTCTACGAGACTACACCGCGCGACAAACCCAGAAGACAGCCATCTTCAGACTCACCGCCCTGAAAACCTCAAATCCCAAATTTAACATATTACAACGGAAAAGCGTACTAGACTACGTAAGCAAATTAATGTACAAAGATCTATATGAGGCTGCGTGACAGTTGACACACGTTCGAGGAATGACTCCAACTAACTGCTATAACATTGCAATAGTTTAACAATAAACTCAACACTGGTAGATTAGTGTAATTAATAAAAGAATATTGGTATCATAATTATGGATAGCTAAGCGGTACTGTATTTTTTAAAAAAGGCGCCTTGAATTATCCTGTAAACACGCCAGCTGTGTGTAATATTACTCAAGGTCGGGGCTGTCCAGTGGGGACAGGTTTCATGCTCCTGTGTGTTTCGACTCCTTCATTTCAACTATTAATTATTATAACCACATCAATTCTGCCTAAATCCATGTGGGAGAACCTTCCTTAAAAAGCGTATAGTTATAAAACTGGTTAAGACAACGTCCATACTATAAACCTGAAATTATTTACGTTTTCACAAAGACCTACTCCTTACACTGGAACAATTTAGCAACTTTTTCTGGAGCGTTTGAAAACCATTTCGGAGCGTACATTTCTTAGTGCAGTTAATGACACTTTCTCTGAGGTTTTGGCTACCGGTATTTTATAATGACGGGTTGATGAATGATTATAAACGATGTGATAGGAAGTTTTCTTGGAAAGCTTTCAGCCTTCATCGTAGCATTTACCTGTTGCGACGGAGTAATTATTTAGCTCTGAAACCTAAAACAACTCACGAACACTAAACAAAACTTGTAACCACTCAGCAGCAATGTTCGGTTTTTCATTTTTGGGTCGTATCGAAGCCAGATCATCACGAACACAGGACTTTTTTGATTGCATCGAAACACATTTTACCTGATTTCATAAATAGGTTTGGAGATACTGTGTCATAATTATTGTATAAACCCTAAAAATTACTCTTCAATTAATGTTTCAATTTCGGGTAGATTTATGTATAGACCCATAGCTATCGTACACCGAAAGTTGTGACGGAAATCACATTCTGAATAACAGAAATCTAACGTTGTTACTAACAAACAAAGATTAATATAACCTTTTCGCAAATGCGCCAGTATATGATATACAGTCTTTTTGGTCTTCAAACCTCAGAAAACATTTCAGTAATCCACCCTCTCATTTCGCACAAATATGAATCGAAATGTAAGAACCTCTTATTATAAATCTATTGTAGAAGACAGGTTATAACTTCCGGAATGTGGACGGATACCTCGATATGCCAGGATAAAGACATGCAAATTTTAAATTCGTTTTCTGTCATGAAATAATTCCATCGTCAGTGGTCTGGATTATGTATTTTTGATCCATTAATCAAGGTGTGCTGTCGAATAAAGATGCCTGTAATTAAAGTGCCGTAAAGGTCACGAAAGGTCAGCTTCTAGACTTCAAGAATGTTGCTGACCAAATGAACCGGGAGATAAGCTGCATGTCGTGATGCATTTCGTCATCTCAAGTACAACGGCACCTCTTTGTCAGCTGCGGAGAGACCTACCTCGGTCCACGAATTACTACCTCTTGTTTTTTATTTCAAGTCTCTTAAGTATTAACAATCGTTCGGACCTGATGAATTGTTAACCTGCACAAAATACTATCAAATAAATTAGATTAGAAGCTGAGTCGTTCGGAGTTTGTTACCAACTGTAGCGGATTAAATTTCTTCCTTCCTCAGTTTTTCCTCTTACCGTCAGACGATTCGTTCAATTTTAGTGAAAATTAGTTTATTTCTGATACAACCTAAAAAAATGTTAAAGCTAAACACTTGATCTACAGTGATCTATCAGCTTTACCAAAATACGGAGTTGAATATATTTTATCGTGAACGTACCACGTTGTAACAAGCTACAGGCCTCGTTCTTCCAACTTTACTTCCAATTCTTAAATATATTAAAATTAATTTAAGGTGTTAATTGTCATTATGCATACCTAATACCAAACATCACAAAATCTATAGATCCAGAGTGAGATACATTTGCCCAAAAAACCAATTCACTAAGTTAAATTATAACATCACAATTCCTTATTATCCATTCATTATCAGTATATATCACATTTACTGTCGAATTACAACGGTGATCAGAGTTTACGAAAACGTTTTCAGAGGTCTGTATTGAAAGACTAGTATTTTAGCAAGTTGTTTGTGTAAAACTCAAATTAAAATCTCAGTCCTTCAAGAAAGCCACTTGTTTCTATTAATTAAAAGAGGCGGCCATGCCAAAATCCTTGTAATAAAACTGTAAAATATATAGGAAAGGAAACTCGTATGTTGTTAATCATCTGACTCTGAGATCAAGCTTCTTGTTAGAATCTCACTGCAAATACAAAATAAATGTCCTTGGCCCAGTTATAAATACTAATAGATACCCTATTAGACCACTACCTTCACGTTGCTAGTAGTAAAGAACATTTAAATCAAATTCAAATTTAAAAAAACATTTTTACACTACAGACAATAAAATGAAAACATCTCAGAGTAGTTATTCCTAATAATGTAATTGACCGATTGGCAAACACCACGAAGTAAATTTTTCCTCTTAGAAGCTGACAGTCACTCAGCTGATCATAACCATCCCACCTTTTATGCAACCTACACGTTCATTAACTTGTACATAACAGCCTTTCACAGAAACCTATCCTATACTGAGTCACTTCAAACCCTATTTAACCCTTTAAAGGCAAAACTCACTACAAATGATGTTTACAGACGTACTTCCTGCCTCCAAGAATACACGTCACATAACCAATAAAAATTAAACAAGTCAGTTAACTTTAGAAAAATATTTGCTCTTTATTATGTCGACCAAATCAAACCTATAATAAACAGGCTGTATGAGCGACATGCAAATTTATGTAGGTGAAAAAGGTGGTACGTATACTTACCATTTACCTATACGAGTTTAAGCTCCACCTTAATATTATCCTTCTGCCCAAGACTAGGTTTTAAATGTGATTCCTTTCACCTCTCAAAAAGATTAATGAATTTCTCATCTCAACCATTATCAAATTATAGATCAGATCGAAAAGTATGTTTTTAACACACAGAAAAATTAAGTTTGCTTTATAACTCAGTCTCGAAAATTTTAGTTTTGGGTATAAAATATTCATAGTGTGTTAATTACAGTGCTCTGTAATGTTTGTTCCAGTAATCCGGAAATCCACGAAGGAACCGTCTAAATTGGATCTTCTGTGTAAAACGTTTGGAACCAAAGCGAAAAAGTCTTACCCTTTGCTGTGAAGACGCGAATCTACTGTTAAGTTACACGTTCGGCGTATTTGGGGCCGATTTCTCACTGGAATCGAAAATTCAGCATACACTACGCGTTTTCACAATGATCTACGTGGTTGGAACAGGAATAGGCTGAGTGCCCATGTCCAGTAAGGTCACCCCTCATTTTTGACAAAGGATTGTCCTGTTCCATAGATCGTCTTCAGTTCTTCAAGAAATAATGTTTTCTTTATTTCTTCCTTTGGTTCATTACTAATTTATTTTTTATTATTTAGTGTTCTGTCTGACGCCAGGTCCATATGAACAGGATCCTTCCATCCTTTTCTCGGACTGGGACCTGTTCATATGCGTTCTTGGCAGATGATCCAGAAGTGGTTTGCCATTGCCTTCTTCTGTGTGTGAATGGAGTAATTGTTGGGATGCCACGGAGGAAAACTCCGTGATGCCTAGACCACGGCCTTGCCCAACACAAGTTGCAAATTCGGGCACCGTTGAGTTTTGACTAAA